ATTATAACAGCTATCAATTATTGGGTACTTACTATGAGCCAGGCATTCTGCTAAGTACTGTGTATTCATTATTTCATTTGATCCCCACAACATATATATGAAGAAGTCAATATCATTTTTCATATGTTTACAGATGAGAAAACTAAACATGGAAAGGTTGAGCTCCTTGTCCAGGGTCCTAGAGCCAGTAAGCAGTTCATCAGTTCTTTGGCTAGGTCCAAAGTCAGGCTCGTCAGCCACTATGGAAGCTACTAATACCTCTAGATAAAGAAGACGCTAACTGACCAACCCAAAGACTTTCAACTATCTTGTCTATCATGGAGCACTGAGTCTAGTGAATATATAGAGACTGATACCAGCTGGGGGAGCAGATGTGTGGATGAACTGACTCCATTCTTTTCCTCACACTCCACCATTGCCAGATGTGGACCTGAGGCTGTAGTTCTCAGAAATTATCTTTCTCTCTGGATGCCACCGAAGAATAACAACTTGCTAACGAGGCACCTGCCTTAGAGGTCCTGATGCTAAGTCCTAGGGAACATGGATAGGCCATAAGATTACTCAGAGAAAGTAACCCCTTTGAAAACTGCTCCGTTACCAAAATCTTAAAGCTGCTGTGGATTTTACTGATTTCAAGCAGTTGAAAGGTATTCAACTACAGAGGGATAGTATGCTATCGAGGAACAAAGCTTCAAAAGCAGTCTTGGGACAATATGAGGTTTTCCTGCTTGTTTTTATAATGACAAAAAGGTAACTTATGAGGTTTTTCTACTCATTATCATTATAATGATAAGAAAATAACTTGTCTGAATCTCTCTCTTTTTTTTAAAGACACAGTCTTACTCTGTCACACAGGCTGGAGTGCAGTGGTGCCATCTCTTCCTCCTGGGTTCAAGCGATTCTCATGCCTCAGCCTCTCGAGTAGCTAGGATTACAGGTATGTACCACCAGGCCTGGATTTTTTTTTCTTTTGTATTTTTAAAAGAGACAGGGTTTTGCAATGTTGACCAGGCTGGTCTGGAACTACTGGCCTCAAGTAATCTGCCTGCATCGGCCTCCCAAAGTGCTGAGGTTACAGGAGTTAGCCACCACAGAAGGTCTGAATGAATCTCACTTAAAATAATGAAATACTATATTTCATTTATTATGTGACAGATCTTTTGGATTTTGACATTTGACATCTGAGGCTTTTTTTTTTTTTTTTTCCATACAGGGTCTCACTCTATCACCCAGGCTGAAGTGCTGTGGTGCAATCACAGCTCACTTCAGCCCCTACCTCCTGGGCTCAAGTGATCCTCCCACTTCAGCCTCCTGAGTAGCTGTGACTACAGTTGCCTGCCACCACACATGGCTAATTGTTTTCTATTTTTTTGTAAAGATGAGGTCTCACTATGTTGGCCAGGCTGATCTCGAACTTCTGGCCTCAAGTGATCCTCTTGTCTCAACCTCCCAAAGTGCTGGGATTAAGATGTGAGCCACCACACCCAGCCTCTGAAGCATCTTATGGCCAATAAATAGCACCTTCCAATGTTTACTGGACAAGCAGCAGTGGTGAGGTATTTGTCATGATCTGTGTATGTGCAAAAACAACTTGCAGAATGGATAGCAATGGAGACAATAGAGCATTTGCTCCCTGAATCCCAAGGCACTATACCAGAAAGTATGGGAAGATGAAAGATAGGAGTCCTTACAATGTGATTAGAGATATAAAGAATACATAAAATGTTTACCACGGATTCGTGTTTAATTCATTGTATATTCTCATCTACTCCCAAAAATGATTTGAGACAAAAAGAGGTGGGCCGGGCGCGGTGGCTCACGCCTCTAATCCCAGCACTTTGAGAGGCCGAGGCGGGTGGATCACGAGGTCAAGAGATCGAGACCATCCTGGTCAACATGGTGACACCCCGTCTCTACTAAAAATACAAAACATTAGCTGGGCATGTTGGCGCGTGCCTGTAATCCCAGCTACTCAGGAGGCTGAGGCAGGAGAATTGCCTGAACCCAGGAGGCGGAGGTTGCGGTGAGCCGAGATCGCGCCATTGCACTCCAGCCTGGGTAACAAGAGCGAAACTCCGTCTCAAAAAAAAAAAAAGAGGTTAGGCACTTTTGTCCAAGTTCATACAGTTAGGCAGACTGGAAAGTGACCTAATTCCCCACTCTAACTCCTCATTCTCCAGCTGCCCACGATGCTGGAGAAGCGGCATGGCACAATGGTGAAGAGCTCAAAGAATGGGACAATATTGTTTGTGCTGCAGAAGAGGAGGAAGTGGGGTTGTTGAGTCAATGGGGACTCTTCTCACTGGAGGGGACCATCAAAAGCACTCTAATGGTGAAGAAGGTGTGGGCAAAGGCACAAGAATAAGAAAGGTAATTTGTAGGAATTGTAAGTTATTAAGTAAGGCTGGTAAGGAAATTTATAAGGATAGTAGTGGAACATAGAAGTAGAAGGAAAGGAGGAACATTAAATCCAGACACTGACTTGCACCCTTTATTCTGAAGACCACTGCTATGGCCTGAATGTTTGTATCCTTTCAAAATTCATGTGTTGAAACCTAATTCTCAATGTGACAGTATTAGGTGGTGGGGCCTTGTAGGAAGTAATTAAGTCATGGCTGGGCCAGAGGCTCACGCCTGTAATCCCAGCACTTTGGGAGGCCGAGGCGGGTGGATCAACTGAGATCAGGGGTTCGAGACCAGCCTGGCCAACATGGTGAAACTCCATCTCTACTAAAAATACAAAAATTAGTCTGACATGGTGGCATGTGCCTGTAGTCCCAGCTACTCAGGAGGGTGAGGCGGGAGAATCACTTGAACCTGGGAGGCAGAGGTTGCAGTTAGCTGACATTGTGCCATTGTACTCCACCCTGTGCACCAAGAGCAAAATTCCATGTAAAAAAAAAAAGAAAAAACAAAGAAGTAATTTAGTCATGAGGGCTTTGCCTTCGTAAGCAGGATTTGTGCCTTAGAAAAGAGGCTGAAGGGAGAGTGTTTGCCCCTTCCAGCATGAGAGGACACACAGATAGTACCATCCATGAGGCAGAGTGAGCCCTTACCAGACACTCAACCTGCTAATGCCTCGATCCTGGACTTCCAAGCCTCCAGAACTGTGGAGCAATAAATTTCTGCATATAACTTAGTCTAATGCATTTTGTTATAGCAGATGGAATAAACAAACACAACCACTGAGCTGCCAATGAAGATTTCTGAATTCACCTACTTTTAAAAGTTTAACTTAGAGAAGACTGGTCTGTTAGGTGTATGTAGTTGGAGATAATAAGAAGCTAAGTTCTGTGTTTGGAAATGAAACACAGGGGAGAGACTGGTAAGATTTCTATGTGAGGTCTTGGTTGTGATAAATGTGATAGAAGAAAGGGGAAAACATGTTACAGAAGCTCATGTGAATAAATGCCTGTGAAAATGTTCAAATAAGTTTGGGAAATGTTGCAGTATACAAAATTACCGAATTATTCCAATGTGAGGCTTTTCAGATCGTTTAGGGCAGTGGTCCCCAATCTTTTGGGCACCAGGGACTGGTGTCATGGAATACAATGTTTCCACAGACCAGGGTAGGGGATGGTTTGGGGAAGGTTCTAGCACATCATATGTATTGTGTATTTTATTTCTATTATTATTACATTGTAATAGATAGTGAAGTAATTATACAACTCACCATAATGTAGAATCAGTGCGATCCCTGAGCCTGTTCTCCTGGAACTAGATGGTCCCATTTGCAGGAGATGGAAGGCAGTGACAGATCATCAGGCATTAGATTTTCATAAGGCGCATGCAACCTAGATCCCTTATGTGCACAGTTGGAGTTGGAGACCAGCCTGATCCACATAGCAAGACCCCATTTCTACAATAAATCAGAAAAATAAATCAGCCAGGTGTGGTGGTGCACGCCTGTAGTCCCGGCTGCTTTGGACACTGAGGTGGGAGGATTGCTGGAGCCTGGAAATTTGAAGCTGCAGTGAGCTGTGAGAGTGTCACTGTGCTCCAGCCTGGGCAAGAGAGTGAGGCCCTTTCTCTTTAAATAAATAACTTTTTAAAAAGAGAAATAGTTTCAAAAATAAAAAGCCCCATTATTTGTAGAGTAGACACATAGGAAAAGAGAGGGAGGGAGGGAGACCTAAAGACAGTGAAGGAAACTCAAGGTGAACAAAGCAGTGAGAAGAGGGAATGGAGATAGGAATCTGAAGGTAGAAGAACACTAAGTGGTCAGGGGAGAGACTGTGAGGTCCTGACTGTATCACTGTTTTCACTGTGGGCTGTTAGATGCCTAAAGTATTTTCTAATGTTTTATTGGTGGCGTCTTATGTGAATAAATTAACAGAAAACTATAACAATTAACTATCTGTTTCTCAGCAGTAACCATAGTCAACCACCACATAATGAACTGCATAGTTCCCTCCCCGCTTTGTCATTTATATCTTCGGATATTCAGAAACTGTAGTCACCTTGCCACCTCATCCCTTTCTGATTAAACTACATATGGCTCCATCTTTCATTTCTGACCCATTCCTCCAGCCTGTTAAACCATTTTGCTTGCTTTCTCTTCCTCCAACCAATTTGTTCATTTCTGGGTAAAATGACACCACATTATTCTAGCTGCAAACTCAAGGTTGTATTTACAATGAATATTTCTTGAGCGCAGTTGGCTCTGTATTAGGCACTGAAAATGAACACCAGGCATCAGAGCGTTAGCATAGGGAACTAAAAGCAGAGATTCCTTCTTTTACCCACCCTCTGTTTTCTTCCCCTTTGAATGTTATTTTTATCATAGTTAAGTTAGAAAATCATATTATCTTGATCTCAAAGCATTTTCATAGACTCCCCATGTGTAATCTCAAAGTTTTCAACAAATGCTATTTCAACCTGAAAATTCTGAAAGTAAAGATCTTTGGTCCTACCTCTCTGCTGGTGTGGATGGAGAAGTGGGGTGGGAAAATACGTTTCCCCAGTGTGACTGAAAATAGACTGACCAAGGACAGGTTTACGCAAATACAACTTTATTTATTCACCTTGGAATAAGGATAGAGATACCCATACAGAACAACACTCCTTTGCTCATTTATTCCCCATCCATTCCAGGGAATAGCTGAATGTTCTTTCATGGGAGACACATCTTTGTATAATGTTACCAGATACATCATTCACACTTCTTTAAAAAATGATGTCCACCACCTGGAAGTCTCTTATTGTTCACGTAAACTAAAACCATTCCCTATTTGTCCAACATATCCACTTGAATGAAAACGTCACAGAGGCATTTGCAAGAACTGCTTATAAGAGAACTACGTCAATGGGTTCCATTTCTATCTGCTAGTTTCTGGCCTTTTTCACTTTGAAGAGAAAATAAGATGCATTAACACATTAAAAATAGGCAACTTGGGTCAGGCTGGCCTTTCTTCTGTGGAAAAAAAGGAGTAACTATCAAATCAAATATCCAACCCCAACTGTCAGAAGCGTGGGAGTGAGGGTGTTTCCACCATTTAAAAAAATCT